CCATTCACCAAAGCATTTGAAGGAGAAGAAGATCGCGTCCTAAGTTTAGAGTAATAAAAATGACAACTTTATTTAAAAAAATATCTAACAGTTTAGTCTGATTTCCAAAGCCAACCAAATGGATCAATTTGAGCCCTATAGTAAGCCTCCCACTAGATCTCCACCATTCAAATAGTCCCAATTTTTTTTAGTTGAATTGATGAAAAATTTTCAATAAATTAATGTCTCTTCGATGCCACTCTCATATTTTGAACTAAATCGAACTAATCTTGATCTAGTTAAGAGACAGATAATTGTCTCAAAAGAATCCATCGTAAAGTTGTGAATGAAATGAAGAGAACAAAAAAAGAAAAAAGGGATGTTCCAAGTTCCAATCCTTTCAATAATTCAGAAGAAGAAATTTGGGGCAAGGAGATTTCAGATGTGGGGAGGCAAATAAGCAAGGTGAAAGCCAAAGAGCAATTAATAGGGGTAGAGGAAGAAGGATGATGAGTCATGGTGGTGCATCTCAAAAATTTATAAAATGGGATATGATTTGGCACTGAGGTCTCACAAAGGCCACATGGCCCTTGTTGGAACCCACAATTTTATTCATATATTTCTTATCCATGCTGCCACCCACTGACCCATATGGCCTCCCTTTCCTTTTCCTTGTTTTATATTATAATTTCACTCACCATTTCTAAACTATGTCTAGTCTTTACTCAACAACTGTAACTGCCCCCAAAACCCCCCAATTATTTTTCCATGTATGCTTAGATTATGTTCATGCTCGATTCTGAACTATCGTGAGAACGTGTGTGAATATCACATAAGACCGAGCTATCAGAGCGAGTCATGTGAGGAAAGACCTGCTCGAGAAAAATAAACATTTTAATGCTACATCGTGTCCTTGGTGATTTCATTATTTGACAACTTTTTCTATGCGGTGGTTTTCTATTTGGAAATTGTGTCAGTGGATTGTATTAATGTTTAGAGTTGAGTAATAAAATAAAAGAAAATAGGTGTCTTTTTTGCACGGGTAAAATAAAATTTAGGGACCTCTAACCAAATAATAGGAATGAAAGTCAAATCAAACCCAAACCATAATGGCCAAATTAAAACTTTTAAAATTATAGGATTGAATTGGAACTAATTCCAAACATAGGACCTTTTGAAACTCTAAAAACCAAATTAAAACTTTGTCTAGAGACCCCTATGTTATTTACATCTTTTGTCCCCTCATCTTATTCTTGGTTTATGAATTTTTCTTTTTTAAAAATATACGTGGGAATGGAAATTTAAATGCAGAGCCTGAAGTAGGGGTATTCACTGGTTGGGTTGGGTCGGGTTAGGGGTATTTTTGGGACCAACCCAAATTTTCGGATTGACCATATATGAGAACCGACGGGTCTAAAATCGATGGCCAACCCAACCCAACTCAACCCAAAATTTTCGGGTTGGGTCGGGTTGGGTTGTCGGGTTGTTTTTTTTTCATATATTTTTCTAACCTCAAAGGTACAAAACGACTCACATAGAAGAATCAAACCCTCATTCACCGAGGCTCCTTTCGTGATAATGTCGGATGGCAGAGAGGGTAAGGCTGGCGGCGATGACGACGGGCTGAGACAGCGACATGAGCTCCAAATGCGAGCGACGACGGAAGCTGCAAAGGACGATGGCGATGGGAAGCTTAAGTGAGGGAAGAAAATGGAAGAGAGAAACTCGAGAGATATAAGAAAATGGAGGAAAGAAGCTTGAGAGAGGGAAGAAAATGGAGGAGAGAGGCTTGAGAGAAAGGAGGAAAAGTGAGATTGAAAAGATGAAAACAATTCTAACCTTGGTTAGGATTAAAAGTAATGGAGGGTTGGGATTAAAGATAAAAAAAATATTATATATTTATAAAGATATTATTATATTATTTATAATTAAAAAAACATATATAATATGCCTAAATTCGGGTTGGGTTGGGTTGACTCGAATTTTTTAAAGGTTGAACCCGAGACCCAACCCAACCCGATCGGGTTGGGAAAATTTCAACCCAACCCAATCCAAACTTTCATCTAATCCAACCCAATCCTTACGGTTTGGGTTGGGTTCATCAGGTTCGTCGGGTTGTCGGGTTTTTTGAACAACCCTAGCCTCAAGGAAGAAATGAACTGTTGGAAAAAAAATTATTGATTGTATGGTTAGTATTGTGCCAGATGGATTTGATTTGTTATTTTTTGTGTTTTCTATTTGTTTGTTAATTAATATAGGATGAGGAAGAAATAGGAAAATTTTCTAAACTAAAACCAAATCGTTTGGTACTAAGTGATTTTAGCCTGATAAAAAAGTTGCCGCAGGTAAAGATTTGCCCAAGAATTAGTGATTTTAGTCTGATAAAAAAAGTTGTGGCACGTAAAGATTTGCCCAAGAATTAGAAGTATTAAAAAAAAATCGACAATCAAATGAACTCAAACCAAATCGTAAGGGTTGGGTTGGATTAGATAAAGACTCGGTTTGGATTGGGTTGTAGATTTTGCAAACCGAACGGTTTGGTTCGATTCGCAGGTTCACTCTTTCAAAAACCGATTCTACCCGAACCGAACCAAAATCATTAATATATATCTATATATTTATTCATTTTTTAAAATTATATAGTCACTTTAAAGCTCAACCATCAACTTGCTTTTAATCTCAATCATTTGTTTCCTTTCCATCTTATCTTATTCTTAGGGTTTCTAACATTTTGTTTAGCTGTTTCTTCTTTCATCCTTCACGTTTTCTCCTCCCCACCTTTTATCTTTTTCATGTTTTCTCCTTCCATTAGGGGTGTTCAAAAAAACTGACAATCCGAAGAATCCAACCCAAACCGTAAGGGTTGGGTTGGATTAGATAAAAACTTGGTTCGGGTTGGGTTGCAAAGTTTGCGAATCGAATGGTTTGATTTGATTCGTAGGTTCACTCTTTAAAAAATTGGTTCAACCGAACGGAATCGAAATCATTATATATATATATATATATATATATATATATATATATATTTTGTTGGAGGCGAATCCTGGCTTGCCACGTGTCATGATCGAAAAGGTGGGTTGGTTAAACGTAAGGGCGAAATGAAGTGAACAGCTCCAAAATACTCAGGTCGGCAGTCAGGGTAGGACCTATGATGCCGAGCTGAGTTGATACAAAGTCCGTAACAGTGTCTCTTCCGTACCCGACAACACGCCGTGATTTTAGGATGTGTCAGAATCCCTGTCGGGCCCAGTTTCTATAAATAGAAACCCTTGCCTTAAATGCAAGGTACGCAATCTTAAGT